ATATAATATAGACTGCAGAAAGGATCGCACTAATTTATCGTACTATCTATTAGCGCGGCGATTTACTCTCCGCGTATTTCTTTTACTTATAGTTATTGCCACATTATTCATCGGAGTACAAAGTTGCACAGTAATTCGTTCTAACTACCACAAGTTCCTTTTATCGTATTTGGACATAAAATATAACATTCTGATATGATAATTTCTTTACTCCGTTCCGTTCCAAATGCAAATAGATACGTTCACTGCTATCATGTAACATGTGCTATACATCGAAGTGCACTTTAGAGCGATCGATGGAGCAATTATTTTACTAAATCGTAATCAGGACTGCGGTACAATCGCGATCGCGATGTATCATGCAAAGACGTGTTGTTACGCACGGGTAAAAATGTCACTCTAACAATATAATTTCACGTTGCGTGATTGTGGTTTCAGGCATCGCGAGAGCAGTCGTCTACGTACGCTCAAATTAATGTACGCGTATGACGAAGGGCGAGCAAAAAATGATGTTTTCCTCTTTTCCTACGCCAACAGATAATTACGAATAGCCGGGATAGTTAATCACATGTGGACGGTTCTACGTTGATGGTGCCTGCGTCTAGTGTCCAATTCCACCGTGAGAAACCATTTTCGATAAAATGTTCTATCGCCAGGCATTTTAATCGACCTAGAACCGGCCCGATGCGTAGGCGTTCGGGACGCTTTTCGGAGGAGCCGCTTTGAAAATATGCGTCCACCCGACGAGCGCCGCAGACATTCCTTCACAGGTGTGGGACGATTTCGAGTGCCTGGCCGAGTTTATGGGGTACTTGAGAGATGCCTGAGAAAAGGGCGGAAGTCCGTCACTATAAAAGGATACTTTCTCGATGATTTCACCTGCGCCACGTATTATCGTTTCGCTATTCATTGTATTTTATTTACAAACGATTCACAAATCCGCTGTACAAACATTTTCATTAAAACCCGTGTGAAATTAATTAATTAATTTTTAATAAATTTTTGTCTGCTTGAAACACGGTGCGTCAGCGCACGTTTGCAAATGATATATGAACGCAAAGATAAAAATAAATTCGGACAATTCGATTTGCATAGAACTGTTGCGCCATGAGGAAATTACTAATTTAACTTGTTGACGCCGCCGCTTTTTTTTAATCATCGACGTGTGGTTAGCAAAAGATCGACGTACACGCAAAGAAAATTCATAAGGTTCCATCGAGGAATTTGATTAATTGATCGGGGGGTCGTAGGTTCGATACGCTCTTGAGAATCTCGCGATCGGTTTTCGTCTCGCGTTTATGCATACGAGCCGGTCCGCTGTGTAACGAGAGTGAAAAACGAAAACCTTATATGCTAATGCACGATCGCTGCTCGCGTCTACAAATGGTCGTATTAAATGGCGTAAAACAGGCGGCTTGAAAACACCATCGCTCGAACGCTGAGTGGACGCCAAGAAACGGCAAGCAAAAATGTTGCGCAACGAACGAGTGCTTTTTAACTCAGGGCCGAAGCTAATCGATTTAGTTTTTGCACTTGTTAATGCGTTACGACGTTGAGATATAGTCCGTTATAGACAGAAAGAAAAAGAATTTATTATCGCTTAGAACTCGTTGCTGTCTTGAATATCATTACTTACGTGACATATCATTGTCGTGTCTATTACGTTACTTACGTGTCATATTCGCAGCTACATTGTGACTTAATTATTCAGCAAAATAAAAAAAGAATGATTATGTAAATAAAAAGGAAGAAGAAAGTCAGAAGGGACGGTCAAGATTAGCATACGAGAATGTATTTTAGACAATTTAACCAGTACTTAAATTTGTTAAAGTTTTATGGCTCAATCTTTTAAGAGAAACTTGATTTGAAATCGAAGAACTACCAGCTGTGTACAAATAGCATGATAGGTGCATAATATATACAAAAAGGTATTTGTGCAACTTCGAGACGTATCCTAGGACATGAGGAGCGACAAGAGAAAATTTCTTGTAAAGAAGGATTCAGTGATTGAGAAATAGGGGGGGGGGAGTGGAAGGGGAAGTAGTGCCTCCTTAACTTTATGTGTACGACCCAATGGTCGGCCGTTTATCACTCTCGTTCCACACGCGAAATATAAATGCGTTTTCTATTAATTCCTTCCATCTACCGCGCTCATCGACGCCCCAACCGAGTTGCATTCACAAGCAACCAGGTCACGCGAGCCCGTGTTATGGTAAACTGAACGGATGTTGTACACGCGCCTATTTACTTGGGATCATTTCGCAATCGATCTTTCGCGAACGTTTCTCCCTTTCCTCCCGCCATCGTTTCTCCCCTTCCTCCCGCGATGTAGCAATGTATCGGAACTTAACGCACGAATAAACCCGCGCATCGCATCGCTCGATTTATATCTCTATCAGTGTGCATAAGGATTCCGCTCTTTTAATCTCTTCTATTTACCTTTCGAAAGCAATTAATATACATGAAGTTAAAATTCACGTTACACGTGCGTTAAATCAGACTAGACATCAAGCGCTGCAAATAAAATCAAAAGACACCGTCGTGTCTCGCGTCAAACAATTTTAAATTGATTTATGCGCGCTTTGCAGTTTTATTTTCTCTTAAATCCTTCTCCATACATGTCGAGAAGCTCTCGACAATTATTCTTCGATTGAGTTTTCTGGCAGACAATAATGCTGGCGGCAGTAATAATTCATCTTTTTTGTGACCATCTCGAAAGTATGGATCGATACCTAAGAGGAGCATTTCCTCGAACGGTGTATCGTAAATAGATATATCTTTTCATCGGCAGAATATAGTACAAGCTATCCACGGTTTCTCGGCATCATAAGCGATCCTGCCATCCTGCCTCTTTTTCTCATACTTCGTACTTGAAAGCTTCTTTTGCTGAAATTTTCCATTTTTAAACTGCATTTTATGATATATAGTATACTCGACCATCATTTTGCGTTCTTGAGTGCAAAGTCTGGAGTCACGTTGTAATATCCTCCTTTGCAATTTGCCGTTTTGTGAGTCCGATGTCTGCAAAAACGTCGTTTGATTAGCGTGCCTTTGGATTTATTTAAGCAAATGCTTTTACAGGAGTCTTTCTTCCATTTATTCCAGTTATTTTTGCAACCCTTAAGAGATTTTCTTCTTGAAACAAAGAGATAATTTAAGGAAAGGATTATTTCTCTTATTATATAGAATAATATAATTATATCTCTCAAGAAAAAGAAGAATATTTTTATATTACTAATTTTTTTAAATTAATTTTTTACATCATCATCTTCACAGCATTTCATAATATATACATAGTATATATTATGTACTTTGTTTACTCCTTTGTTTACTTCGTTAAAATCAAACGCGATAATCAGATTGTGCAACTTTATCTCGCATTCTTATTCCTGCACTTTATCATCGCATTATTAAGAGTGAAGCGAAGCGGCGTTTGATTAATTTAGAGATTGTATGCGGCGGCGGTGGCGAAGGAGGCAAACTTTTAAGCCATTAACGTCAGGGCCATCGATGGGACTAATTAGCCCCGCGTACCGCCGTACTTTTGAAAGCGCGCATGGAATGGTAGCAGCTGTTTCGTCGGAAGCAGGTGAATCTCGCTACCGGTCACCGTCGCGTACTCACGAGCGGCGACGCCGACCTAATCGCCATTGCGCCCCTAATGACGTCCAACCCTTTCGCCGCGCGGCCACGTTCCTTTCGAAGTTCGCTTAATTGGCTGCACTGGCCGGTTATTTATTGCGCCGTTGGCGCTGTCCTTTGACGCCGTAATAGCCCGTTGACGGGGCTATTTAGACCTTTTAGATCAGTGTAAGGAGGATTTGCCGAAATAGGGCCACCGATGAAAATGATATGTACGTCGAGGTGCCGCCGTTGCGGGAGATTGCATATTGAGATTGTGCGTTAAAGATTCATTTTATTATTCTGTCCACCTATTATGAAAGCTCATTAAAAATTAACATTAGTGTAAAATTTGTTTTTATGTATTCATTTTTGTTATAACATTAATGCTAAATATTCTTATGCAAGCGTTAAGTTGAAATAATATCTTGTGAAAATTTATTTAATCTAAATTAGCAATTATATATATACTTTGAACTGGAGCAGTGATCGTTTCCTACCGTCTTGTTTCTTTCCTTCTGCCGCGGAGACAAGTGCGTAAAGCGCGCGCGCGCATAGTGCTCTGCGTAAACATTCATCGGCATCTCGTTATCAGCTTATTGGCAATCGCATTTGCGTTTGCCAACGATACCAGAATCCGCCTTCTGGTAACAAGGTAAGCAACGGCGGACAAGCAGAGACACGGAAGGAAGAATGAGAAGAAGGGAGGTCGGGTTAAGGTAGATCAAAGGACGCCGGCAATAATTACAGAAATATGCGCGTTGATGTGTACCGCTTTGCCGGGCAATCCCCGAAAGGGCTTCTTACATCGCTGTATCACCACCGGATGTTATCTGTTTCTCCTCACCCTCCACTGTCAGTAACATACATAGTTATTTTTTTGCCACTCGATATCATTCTGTAATCTATAAACACGCTGCACTTCTTTTCTGTACTTGCTACTTGGCATTTTCTCCTCTCCATATTCTCTGTCGTTCAGTTTTACATCTTGTCGTGCTTCGCGACCAGTCTACCGTATACAATATATATCATATGTACATATGTGGCGCAGCATAATTAGAGGATGATTAGGAAAAGGTTTTAACATTGAGTAAATTTATCAATACTTACAGCATCCATTAATTTAACGCGTGCAAACCTATTTCTTTATTTGCAGCAAATTTGCATGCTTGAAAGTCTGTTTGTGTGCATGTGCATCATTACATACAAGGAAGATTGCAATATTCATGCGAGATTCACTCATCCATTTTCGCCTTTAGCTATCGAGTTTTCGCTCATCACTCCTTTTACTTTACATTTATTAATTATTTAATTTATGATCGTAATTGAAAGTCTTATTTTTTTCTTACACTAATATTTTTTTTGTTTTTTCTTTTAAGGTAATGATCATTGGATTTCATCAACATTGTTCATTCTTAGTGAGGAGACGGCCTTTCTACTATCGGTAAGTTTTTCTTTTGCTAAGCCCGCATATATATTCACGCGACAGTCAAACAGCCGGCTGATATACAAAACATACCGATAACGTCTTAACGGGAAGGCTATTATCTTGATCCCAGTGCGGCAAACTCGCCATGCGACGATTCGGCCGATTCGCTTTTAAGGTCTGGATTAAGATTCTTGAAATTATCGTCTTTATGCGGCTCCGAATACCGACATGCGACCACGTCGCATTCTCGCTGCTCGCCGACCTCGCAATATAAATTAACATTATCAATATTGAGATAGTCGAGCATCTTCGTTTCCATCGCGGGTGAGCGATCCGGCAGAATTGTACGTCTATTAGATCGCTTGACTAGGATAAGAAAATACCATTCGGGGAAGAAGTTCGCGCTTTGGTAATATGCGCCTCTAATAAACGCTGTTTACGCATCACGAACGCTTCGTTAACTCGCGTGCACGCGGTCGCACTAAGTGTGTATTCACTGAAATATTCAACGAGGAGCGATTATCGTAACTTTTTTTTACATACTGCGCAATAAAGCCAGAGATCTATAATCGTAAAACTTTTTCTCCCTGCGAATTTACCGTGATTAATGATTCGGTTATGTATTACGCATCAAACAACATGTTGAAGTAGGAAGAATTTATATAGTTTAAAAAGAAATGTCATTTTGATATGACTGCTGCTTTCTGCTCTTTAATGCATTACACATATCGGTCTCTTTTAAGTTTTTGATAATAAAATGAACTTAAAAGAAAAAATGTTCTACAAATATTTCGTATGTGAAACATTTTTTCTTCTAAGTTAAATTTTATTATCAGAATTTAAAAAAAACACTGATATATTATTTATAGATCGTAGATCTTACTAAAAAATCTTTCTGAAATTATTGTTGAAAAAAAATTGTAATATTGATTTTTTATTTTGAGATAAAAATTGAAGAAAATTTAGGTTAAGGTGTTGGCACATGAGGATATTTAGTTTATAAAGTGACGTGGCTGCAGTTCCGGAAACCGCGCCCGATGCTACAGGCTATCGTCAAAAAGCCATCCATGCGGCAAGTATGTTCCGAAGCTCAGACTATTGCACAGACAATGTGGAACTTTGTTCCCCTGTCTGGTCTTAAGATCGTGACGTTCGTTTTATTGTGTCCGTTGGTGCATCGAGTTGCGAAGAATTTTGCCCGGAAGCGACAATCGCGAGACCTCGCGCGCGCGCGCGCAACCGTTTTGGCTCTAACGGATATAGCGAGAGATCGTGGGCGGAGATTATTGTGATTTCTCGGACAGTAACAACGTTGCAGAACCAGGAAGCAAATCCCTAAAGCGACAATGTAATGAGGAACGATGCGGAAACAAAAAAAGTGAGGCAAAAGGATCGGGAATGAAATATGTTCTGGATGTTGCTTGTGAAGATGGCGGAACGGTTGGACTGGCGTGTGATATCTACCGTATTCCATTTTGTATAAATATATCTTTTTATACGATCCTATCGCTGGAAATAAGATCTATGGGCGATACCGGAGATCGACTTCGAGAGAGCAAATAGGCAACAAATAGGTATCCGAATAGGTTGTCCGAAATACAAAGCGGCCGATGTCTGAAGGTAATTTCTTTAGCAATATTTAAAAATTATAATAGACAAAGATTTCCGGAGGCAGGTAGGAAGATTCAAACTGTTACACAGAAGCATATCTATATGGCAACTAATGGAACACTAGCTTTAAACTACCAACTTAAGGGAGAACAATTTTCAGAATTATTTATATTTTAAATTATAGAAAATATTTAAAGAAAAATAAATCTACGAAGAAATTTCACGTTTAAATTTGCATTTAATTTGAAAGAACAAATATACTTTTTGATTTGGCTGAATTTTTGTTAAGCATTCTAAAAATTATTAATTTCTCCATTATAATTAATACATATTATAAAAAAATTATTGACATCTCGCGGATGGGACGTATTTGTGAATTGCACAAGCATTGCATTAAGATTACTTTGATGACGACGAACTGATGGATATGTTACTCGCAGTTGCATTTTGCCTTAATCCCTTCACTGCCTGCATATTCCTCTCACTGCCCACGTAATTACTCATTCATTAAAACTGTTGCGCCTTCAGGAAAGCGGTTTAAGAAAATTCTTAATGTCGTCCACGCAATAATACTATCCTCGCTCTTGGCAGAATATACTCCTTACTCGTACTCGAAACTTAGTAAAAGGGTGACCGTCACAAGTATACTTTCTTGCACATGTCGCTCTCTCTTTTACGAGGAAACGCAAGCACCGTCCGTATCTCTCCGCTTTATTACAGGATACATCTGTTTCTGCTCCGATAGTGGTAGTAGTGTGTAATCACGCGCGTAATTCGAAAGCAGAGAGAGGGAAATTGCCGATTAGCCGGGCACGTTTCTTAATCGCTTCGGGTATTATGCTTCAAGTGCAATCGACAATCGTCGACAGTTGTTCTTACCGTTGCCGCCCAAAGGTAAATGAGAAAAATTAGGTCAACTAATCTTCGCGTATGATGAAACGCGATAAAAATTGCTTCCGACGTGTAAAACTAATTAGTAATTTACTTTGATACATATTTGATCTCAACAGCTTTTTTATATCTTTTTTTATGTATAATGAAATGTGATATTGGATAAAATTTCTTAAAATTGAGTTTATTTAATCGATAGAAATAGCTATATCTATATAGTTTTCTTTTGTAGCTATATCAAATAATATGCGACTGCTAATATTTCACGAGTTTTAACCATTTTTTAATTAATTTTATACAATATATTTGTAGAGATAAAAAATTACTAGCTTAAACATTTCATTAATATCTGAAAAATACATGAGGAAGCGAATTATATGCAAAAATTTATTTATTTATTATATTTTTTATTGATATTTTATTTGCATTAGTACATTAATTCAATTCAAATAAGACATCAAACGTTGCTGAAAAGCGTTCCCAGCGCGTTGACGTGTCTCTGCGATCTCGCATCCATTATTTCGCACAATGTGCTTTATAAATTACGGGCACACGCGTCGCGACTTAAACTTTCGCTTGATGAACACCGCGGATCTTTGCGAATACGCGAGCTTCCGAGTTCTTGTGGGCGGCTCTGAGGAAAACGTAGCATAACTCGACACTGCAGGACGAAAACACCGCGGTCTTACTACTCGCAATGCGCCAAGACGTATAACGGGTGGTGTCTTAAATAATGCAGCCTGCCGACTCGATGAGCGACAGTCGTGTGTCTTCTCTCAGTAGAGGCATCCTTCGCGGGCACGACAGTCACGCGTGTTGCGTTGATACGTGCGGGGATTACGTTTCGTAAAACTGCATTA